GCAGCAATTACCGACATAACACAAGCATTCAACAAAATATGGCGCACCGGACTACTCTACAAACTGAAATTGCATATACCACAGAGCTTCTATTCGTTATTAAACTCTGATATCAATAATCGATATTTCATGATCAAAATAGAAAACTATAATACAAAAATTTTCCAGATAAAAGGTGGCACACAAGAGAGTGTACTAGGTCCGCCCCTCCACATAACGTATACCGCAACCTTTGCTAATGACAGACCTTTAAGACAATCAAGTGTGGCTAAACAAATGGCACATTAATGCTAATGAATGCAAATCTACACAAACCACATTCACTCTTCGCCACGGTTACTAACTACCATTTACATTAAATAATAACGTATTACCGCAATCCGATCACGCGAAGCATCTTGAGAGTTCATCTTCAATGGGTTCTCACCTGGAAACATCTTCTTATGTCCTAAATAGTAGTTTATAGCGCGATCGTCACATCCTATCAGTTTTTGAAACAATACAAACAGTCTGTGAAAACTACCAAACAACACTTTCAAATCATCCGAACCCACTAGCGCATGAGCTGTTATCAGATATCAACCATTCACGTCGATTAAAAGATTTGGATTTGCCAAAAAGAATCCAAAATACGTGAATCGTAATAGTAAACTCATTAATATTAAACATTTATAGCTAACTACTTATTCATTATTAGTTGTAATTTAATCTTAAACGGTGTTTACTACTGAGTGCCCCGCACATGCGTATATAGTAGGAGATGCATATTTTCACGTGTGGAATTAAAAGGTGTTTATCCTTCTTGGTACTGGCTACACAATTTGTCTTTATTCCGAGAGCGTTAGTTATTGTTTGAATAAATACTAAATCCACGGTATGTAATCAAAATTGATAGAGAAGATAGAACTCTATTGTGGTTACTTGTGATACAACTATTTTCCGTTAATAATTTCTTCTACTTATTTGATATATAATTGCTTACTTTGTACTATAAATTGTACCTCTAAAAATTGCTCAGCTATTTATTATGTCGATTATATACACCTCTTATTAATTATAATTTCGGGTATATTGAAATTACATTTGATTTCAAAAATTTTAACATTGTTTCAAAAGCCACTACAAAAGGACATATTTAATAAACTCTTTTTTTTATAATTTATTAATCTATTTCGTGTAAAATAATGTAATCATTATTCAAGAATATGAATAAATAGGTATATATATATGCATATATACTTTCAATATCGTATAAGTCACATTATTATTTTATCTACCATAAATTAAATGTTTTATTATTCATCAAACATTAAGTTATATTGTGTATATAACATACTTTAGACTTCAAATCACATTAAAAATGTACATGACACAAAATAAATCTAATATATTGACTAAAACATTAAAATTTAAATATTTTATTAGGAAACGTATTTAAAAATATTTACTGATTTCAAAAAACACACTCACTCAATATGTGTAAAAAATTAAACGCAATAAATCAGAAGGAAGAATTCATCACAAGCCATGTTTTTACTGCCCAAGTATCTCCCTCGCGTATACAAAATTAAATGTGATATTGAATAGAAGAAAGGACCTTTTGACACAAATACAAAATATTAAATAAAACGAATCACCAATGAAGTATTTAAGAAAAGAACTATTTACCAATATTGCTCAATGATGGATCGTAAATAACTTATGTTCGCTCTAACCACTTCTGTACGGTGTCCTTAACAATAAAGGACACACAATCATTTGAGCAAATCCCCTAGAAGTGACGTAACTGAAAGCCTATTCTTATAAGGAAGTTGACACTTCTTTCCTCACAATTTTCCCATGTAAGTTTACTACACTACACTTTACACACAATGGATTGACCCTTGTGTTGTGCTTAACTCGTATTGTGCAATTCTCTGGACAATGGTCACTTGATGATGCAGGCGCGTCAATAACATTTTATTTCTTAGTTATTTTTTTATTTGCTACTTTACTTTTATATTCCAATAAAAAAAAATAAAATGAAATAAAACAACATTAATGCAAAAGTATTTGCACGTAAGGACGAACGGAAACAACTCGTAAAACTACCGAATTGTGAATTATGTCCTGACAGTTTTTTGCCCTCACAATATTAAGGAATATGTGAAATGCTAGTAATAAGAAGAAGAAAAAGTGGACAATCCATTTTTTATACCCGAACTCGTATTGTTGCTTCTCCAAGTAAATAAAATTCGTATTTAAACGCTGCTCAATGTTCAGTTTTATGCATGTAATCGTAAATAAATTTTATTGGTTATTTTGTTTGGACGTCGTAAAGCTACTGAGATGAGCTCAGATTTTCAATGGAATCGTTGTGGCATGATGGCGCCAGTATTGTGTGGTGGAATCGAATTTCATACACTAAAACATAGTTTCTTGTTCTATTATTAAATCAACAATAAAAATATTATTATTCATTCTCAATTATACTTAACTGATCAGGAACGATTATCGATATGGATCCGTTTTATAAAAATTAATAAGAAGTCAATTCTGTCTATTTTAAAGATATTTATAAAAAAGGAATATCAATTATTCAGATTTCTGAAATATTTAGATGAAGAATCATGTTTCATTCAAACATATCTTTCTACCGCCAAGACTTTCTAAACCACTTATAGAACGCATCATCATAAATTAACACAACGCTAGCTATAAGCATGTCTAAGCTAGCATTGATGCATTACATATAATATATACAACTATTTCTCGAAATATATGCAAAAGCTAGTCATTTTGATCTATTAGTTCTTTTTAACTTTACTTTATATACAATCGAACTAAGTCTGTCGTAAACCTCTTAGGTCTACTCAATTATCTGACAGAATACAGTGTATTTATGTATCTTGTATCAGTGTATTTATGTATGTACATTGTGACCGAAAAGGTTCCGGAAATTTTAAATAAAACGCAAAATTCTTAATCTTCATCAATATTTATTTTATCTCCTTCAAAATATGCTCCATTAGAAGCGATACACAAATGCCAACGTTTCTTCCAATCATCAAAACATTTTTTATAGGCGCTTTCCGGTATGGCTTTGAGTTCCCTCTGCGAATTCTGTTTTACGTCTTCTATGGATTAAAAACGCGTTCCTCTGAGTGGTAATTTGAGTTTGGGAAACAGGAAAAAGTCACACGGTGCAAGATCAGGTGAATACGGGGGCTGTTCGATGGTATTTATTGAATGTTTGGCCTTAAAATCGTTGATAATGTTGAACAAAGTGAGGGAGCATATCGTGAAAAATCCGTGAATTATCCTTCACACGTCGCATACGCAAATTTTCCACGCAAACGTCTTAAACGAGCCATCTCACGACCGATGCCTAGCTCTCGTGCTATCTCTCTAACACTCACATGAGGATTTTTGAACACGATTTCCTTTGCCTTTTCAATGTTTTCGTCGGTGGTAGAGGTCGAAGGTCGTCCAGAACGCGGCATGTCTTCGACGGTCGTACGACAGTCCTGAAAGGCTTTGTACCACTCATAAACTTGAGTTTTCGATAAAACTGATTCCCCATAAGCCTTTTGTAGCATTCGCAACGATTCTGCACACGAAATTTCGTTCGAAAAACAAAATTTGATGCAAACTCTTTGTTCAATATTTTTTTCCATTGTTTTTTTCGCAACGCACTACTGAGGTGAACTGGTTTCAACAGCTGCCGTAAACGAACTGTTGACAGATCCGCGCTCATTTGGCCATAGATAATTAAGGGACAGTGCTGCCAAACTACATAAACTTAAAATATCGAAAAATATACAGCGCGCGAATTTTAAATGAGAATTTCCGAAAACTTTTCGGTCACAATGTACTTCTAAGATGTCTACAGGAAGTGAATATGGCAAAGAACATAAACATAATAAATATTTTGATTTTGACTATGACATCTTATTTGATAGACACAGCCGAAATTAAATTTCATTTTAAATGATCACTATACTATAGTGGAAAGGTTTCGCTTTCTACGGTTCTTTTAATCACTCTTGATACCTCCAGAATCTTACTTTTCTACGCGAAATATATTGACCAACCAACCAAGAAATAACTTTGATATAGATTTGAAAAATAAAGGGTTCATATTGGATCCCACAGAAATTTGATATAAGCTTCACAATCGTGTCGTTTTGTGTAAAGAAGAAAGCTTAAATTGGATCAAATTAGGACCATTTCACTAGAGTATATTTATTATGTCAAAATCACCCATTGTAATGGCTTATTTCATTAATATGTTAATAGTTATCGTTTCTGTAATAGATTTAGTTATCTTTTATTTTTTTTAAGAAAAGCGACCATTGCCAGAAATATAATCAACACATTTATGAAGATACATATATAATAATTTATAATTTTTCGCTTAAATTTATTTTCTTTCAGTTTTGTTGTTTATTTTATATATCACTAAAAGAAGATTAAAACGAATTGGGATGAAATTCAAAAAAAAAATATTAATTAGGTCTATGGTTGCCAGAATCAACCGGGTATAATGAACACGTTACAATAACAACAATTGTTTCTTCTTATATAGGGAATATATGAGTTTATGGGTTGAAGTTGAAGTGGAAGGAAAAACAAATCCTCTTCTGTTATCTAAGAAAGCGATTTTCGTCCCACATTTATGATGGACGATAAAAGAAAATAGAAAAATAATAGAAATAATAATGAATTGAGCTCTAATATAATAACTGTATAAACAATTTTAAAGGACCCATTTATAACACACATTTGTTGTTGGAGAAACTGTACTGGTTGTGTAAAGTTTTTTATCCATAAATATTTCTGGTTTTGAATATTCTTCTACACTTGAAATCATCAAATTTTTCTGAGAACCTCTCCCTTCTAACATATAGTATAGCGCTATATATAAAACAAAAACGATAACGTGCTACTGGTTAACAATTTTGAAAAAAATTTGTGTCTTTGATTATCGACTATATATGTAATAGAATATGAAACAATACCTTATTACAGCTTTTGTTGTTGTAGTGGGCGTAGTTGTTTTAATAATTTGTGTTGTACTTTTAAGTGTACTAGTTTTTGTGGCAGTAGCAGTTGTTTTAGTTGTCGTCGTAGTACTCGTACTAGTCGGTTTTTTACTCGTTGTTGGTGTAGTACTAGAGAGGAAATATATATTTTGTTGTTTAGCGATGGGTGTTGTTGCAGTGGCCGGTTGGAAATTTAAAGTAGAATCTATATTATTATAAGTAGCATCATTCGATTTTGTAACATCTTTTGGTAACTTCGAACCAATTATATTATATTCATCGGATTCTTGTGTAGCTACTAGTTTCGGTGCGAAAGTCGTATAACGTGTGGGTTGCTGATAAAATGCCCGTTCCGTAATGCTTGCATAATAGTCCGGTACCCCCTCGCTATATTCATCAGAGGTCTCATATGCATAAGTTTGACTAGTTGGCGATGTGTAGCTTGTGGGTTCCGTTGTAAGTGTACTATAGTAGTTGCGCTCATCATTGGCTATGAAAGGTCTTGAAGTTGATGTGGGACGTTCGTTCAGTGTTTGTATAGTAATGTGCTCATTCCTAGTTTTTTTTCAATTTTTTTTTTTTGTAGAAAGTTTGATAAAATTTTCAAACAATATGTAAGTGTTTATTGTATTAAAATTTTGATGTAATGTTTTCTATTTTTGTTGTATGTTGAAATGTGTGTGCATTTGCTGGTATGTAAGTTAGGTGTTTTGTGGGTGTGATTATGGTAATTGATAGTTGTTTATAGTGAGTAATTGTAGTGTTGGTCTTTAACAATGGATGGGCAATATAATTTTAGTACTACAGTAGTACATCTTATATGTGTATATGTATTTTAATTCAATTGCCATTCCATTAATTATAGTGTTTAGAGTGCAGTTTTTGTTTTTTGATATGTTTTACCTGCTGCTAAGTTGGAAAGCTTTACATGCAATTTTCTGTATTATGTATATATAAACTTTTTGTTGTTTCTTCAATATAATTAATTAATGACAACACTGTACGATGAGTGCACTACGTCTTGGTTAATTATGGGTTTAATTACCTGATTTGTTCATTACGCATTATTTAAACTATTTGAAGAATATGTAGCTATGTACGAGTATGTATTAATACTTTGAAGTAAATGATATTTAAATATATTTTGCATGCCAATAAAATGCACATAGCTAAACACATATATATATATTATACATATATATATATATTATATATGAATTTAATTATTTTTTTTTTAGCTTTGATACTTTCGCACATGTAAGAAATGTTAAGGTTAATTATGTTATATGTTTAATGGTTAAAACAGTGGATAATGCCTTGCTTTACTAATTTATGAACAATGCAAAAGTACTTACCTCGATGGAGAGCGTGTTGGCTGATCGTATACATTATCTTGCTCAATCTGTAAAAGAAAGTGAGAAATGTTTTAAAGTACCTAAAAAAGTATTAAATTTCTTAGTGGAAACATATATTTCTCCCATGGCATAACCCACGATAAATGCAATATAAAGGACTTCGAACTGAACAAAAGCATTATTCAGTTCGAAGAGTTAACGTCAATTTTTTTTAAATGACGCCTATTTTATAATTATTCCAAATTATAGTGGTATCTAAAATGTTAAGGAGATTATACGATAACACAACTTCAGTGAAATTCAGTGATAATCAGATCATTAGAGAAAATCTATGTAATTAATAAAATCTTGTGACTAAACATCATCGTCTATCTTTAGAAAAATAAGAATTGCAAGGGGAAAAAATAATATAGAAAGACTGATCAACATTAACAATATCTTATTATAATTCGAATTGAAAATACGTTCTTCACATTTTAATAATATTATAGCAAACTATATATATGCTTAATTACATTAATTCTGAGTCTATATCTCTAAGCGATTTTTATTAAAATTTCCACTGGCTTCGTCAGATCAGTTAACTTACTTGAATTACTGGAATCTCAAGCAAATTAAGTGGTCTAACGAAGCCAGTGGATATGTACCATTATGTATATTATACTTAAAATCCGAATGCATCGATACTACATAGATTACATAGATATATAAAAGATGTTTCCACTTCAATTGGAATTTTTTAATTTCTCCAATTTTAAAAACGTTAAGCATAAATAACTACATTTGAAATGAATTATTATTAATTAATATTTAAAGAAAAAGTTGCTTTACACTACTTAGAGATAGGTATATTTAAAAAAATATGGTACAGACATATACCATATAGTCAATTTAAATCGTCTAAATATGTGTTATATTATATATTTTAAAACGGGTTAATTGGCCAGTGGTTTTAAATTACTACACAACTTTTTAAACTAGTTTTAATGAAATATATTATATAGTCATTGATATTTCGACTATATCTCATCTTCAGGGCACAATAAATTATAGATGTGTTATTTAATAATTTAGTCCGTTCTATATAAAATCGTATAAGTATGTCTTTGTATAATCCAAACCGTGGTCCTTTAAAATTAATATACTAACCGACTATCGCTACCTAATATATTAAGAAATATGTTCCCTGTGTATATTTAAACTATACATAGGTTTAAAGAAGTACTTTTCAGAAGTATAATAGCAATACTCACTTGTGCGATAAGATCCTCTTCATAATCTGTGTTATATATCAACGATTGTTGATTGTTATAGTTTTGTGTCTTCTGTGATGATAGGGGTTTGCTAATATAAGTCTCTCGTATTGGCACTTGTTGTGGTGTTGGCGTTGTTAAAATTTCCAATGGACGATATGTCGTTTGCTGTTGACGTATTGGTTGCTGCGGTTGATATTGTTGTTGTTCTTGCTGCTGCTGTTGTTGTTGCTGCTGTTGCTGTTGACGATTATGTTGTTGTTGTTGTTGCTGATACTCAATATCCCTATATAAATCAATATCGTCGTCATAAACAGAATAATAAGTATCATAAGAACTTTGTTCAGGTTGTGCTTGTTGTTGTTGCTGTTGTTGATGTTGTGAAGGAATTTGTTGTTGTTCTTGTATGTTTGGTGGTAATTGTGATTCATAGACCCCATGATTTAATGTTGATGTATTATAATAGTTACGATTAATTAGCTGATTTCGATTTGATGGTATAGTCTCAACGATAACCTTTGTTGGTCTTTGTGGCTGTACATAAAGATTAGCCGGCGTTGGAGATTGTGATGATGGTGAGGATGACTCCACTCTGTTTAAACCACATGCATTTCATTGGTGGCAGAGTGCGTTGGTTATTTACATTTTTTTTTTAAATTTTTTTTAAGGAGTTTTTTTTTTAAATGATTTATTTTTTATTATAAAAATGATATAAAAAAATATTTGAGATATATACAAGATATTAATATGAAGTTAATATTAAGGATATGAATATGATATAATATTAATATATGATGGAAGATGATCGATTTAGTAATGTGCAATTCATGGTAAAGAGTTATGAATTTGTTAGCAAAGCATTTAGCAATAAAATGTGTTTTTTGGTTATCCGTACCAAGTCTAGGTTTAAAGGTCACCGTTTATCCTGCGTAACATATAGGTTTCTGTACAACTCGTAAAATTATATGATTTTTAATGGGTAAACAAATAGTTAAGAAATTATGAAAAGTGACACATAAACTTTTAATACAACTAAGTAGAATTTTTATGACAGAAACTTAGTGAAAAAAATCTAAGAAATTTAAAATTTTTCCTAACAATACAAGTGTAGTTTACTCTATAGAGTAGTGTACTCTATACATGAAATATCCCAAAATTTTAAAGTATTCAAAAGACAGACACACTTGATTTGGTCTATTAGATTATAATCTAAATTTCTCAAAACTATATCTCAACTACCGTGATTTTCAATTCGACTTAATACCTGTATTGATACAACAACATATATAATATATACAGTAGTCAAGTAGTTTATATAGCATACTACGTATAGATGCAAAACGAATTCTAAACATACCTTTTGTAAAATGTATGTTCACAACATTAAGAACTTTGAGAGAAAGATGTGATATTGTGGTATCATTAAGATTTGATATTATTTTTAATTAAAGAAAATAACTGATAATACCAATCATATCTTACAATCATAAAGTCTTTTCCTTTATCTTACAAGCCCTTTTGTGATTTTTGTTTAAGTCAATTAGTTATGCCTAATACCATGTTTCCACTTGTCTTATTTAGACACTTTTGCTCATTAAGGACGCCAATAAGGATCATTTACCATTTACCGCTAATAAGGATAATTTATTATAAGTAAATCAACTGATTTAAGGCAAAAAATATCAAATGCCACCCATGAAATAAATTTCCCACAAGAGGAATTACCAAAATAAGAAATATGTTTTATATGTAAAATATATTTCACATGCATAAATCAGTTTATGCCAATGGAAACGACCAAATCTCAATTTCATTAACATAAGTAGTTTTAGCTGCAGTGGGAACATGACATAACTTATTAAAACCACAAACCCAGTAAAGTATATATGTGTCACTTCATATTTGCTTCACCACCTTATCAATGTATGAATAATGTAGTATAAACACTTATGTACAAAGTTTCCTTTTTTGGTAGATCGTGTATTGTGTCACCTAATTAAACATATTTTACGAGAATATATAAACGAGAGAACATTTATATGTAAAATAATAAAAATATTGATTACTAAGTCAGAGTTGTCGCTTAAGCACCATTCTTTGGCGCAGTAACCGATTTCAAGATAGAAACAATTAAGTACAATAGATGTTAGGACGTCGCGTATTAGATAGAACAAAGTTAAACACAAACATAATATCACACATAAAGTAAAAGTAGAGTATATATAGTATAAAGTACACGTGTGTATAATTACTAGCGCAGATTTATAAAATCTGCACTTTTCTGATGTTACTTGGTAGTACCTTTGATTTTGACTGTCCATGTCCAAATTTAGTTTGGCAGCTGCCAGGGCAGATGTTGAAGCCGATGAAGTTGGTCTTTTTTTAAATGTTTGTAGATTAAAATCTGTCGTGCTGTTACTGTTATTACTATCATTATTGTTGTTATTGTTGTAGTTCAGTTCAATTTGTTGATTTTTGAGTGCAGTTCCTTTATTATATGGCCATTTATTTTGGCCACGCACTCTATGTGGTCGTACCGTATAACGTGTACGCAATGTACCTGTTGTAGTAGCTGGAGTCTCTGTGGTGGTTTGTGTTGTGCGAGTTGTCGTTATAGTGCTACTTGTACTTGTGGCAGTTGTAGAAGTAAAAAGTGTACTAATAGTAGGTCTAACATTAGTCAATGTAGGTCTAGTTACACGCAAAGTCGTACTGGTTGGTGTTAGGGACGGTTTTTGCGTTGTAGTTGTGTATTTATTGTTTCCTTCTTGTAACGTTGGTAGGCGGTGTTTAATTTCTTGAAAGAAGTCGGTTGGAAAATTAATGAATGAAGGTATTTGATTGTTGTTTGTAGAGCCGATATTATTAACATTGTAGAATTGTTGAAAATTGCTACCAAAGAATGGCCTGCGAGTGGTGGTGGCTTCATAGAAACCAGTCATATGGTTTGGTTGTTGTGTGGAGGTACTAGGCGGAAACATTTGTGATCTTGGTGGTGCCATCGTTTCAGACATCGGCATATATGGCGGCATTTGTGAAGGTGGCATAATTTCATCATCTGAATCGTTGCCTAACGATTCATTTTCTTCATCATATTCTTCGTAATAGTCTTTATGATTTGCCACGGTTGAGGAAGCATATGGTCTATTGCGCATTGTAGTGCTAGTTACTTTATCATATTGATTTGGTAAGCTTTTGATAAAGCTCTCATAACCCTTCGTTGGTCTTTTAGTCGTAGTTGTGGTTTTGGGCGCCGGTGTTGTGGATGTGAAATAGGTGCTGGTGGGTATTTTCGTTCTAGTGCGACTACGATCAGTTGTCGAGGCGGAAAGTGGTTTATAAAAATCGTTATCGTTATCAATTGAAGTAGTTGAAGTGTCACTACCACTTACAGGTTTTAGTCCCGGCTTTAATTTTGGTAATGTTCCAACTTGCTTAAAATACTTAAGCATATCCATTATAGTTGGGTTCATGTTGGCTAAGTTAGTAGCTTCTAACGTCGAAACAAAATCAGGTAGCAGAAACTGATAGTTCTTTGGTTTTGGAGTAGATTGTTGGATATTGACAGTCTTAAGTTTCGGTGCTATGGTTGAGGTGATGGTATTTGTAAATGTTTGATAGGATTCCGGGAATGTGGATGAGGAGTTTGCATATATGATACCCGCTGATTGTTGTATGAATGCTGGTATTTCTGCATGTTTCAAAGTTTGCACATTAAATTTTGGTCCTGGTATAATATTAATGTTTGATGTAGGTGGCTCAGGAGTGGTCAGTTTGGTTGACATTGTTTTGTAGGTAGTGTCATAGGAGGTTGGCTTAACTGTGTTGTAAAAAGCTTTCATTTTTTGATTTGCCAATATGTTGTACTTGAAGTAGTTGCTTTCGGTAGTGGTTGATATGAAGTTATTACCAATGCTGTAATGGGATATAAGTTTTGCTGGGTAACTGGCAGTGGGCTTAAACTCAAATCCAGTGGGTTCATCACTATGCTGCTGCTCATCTTGATTATTGTAAAAACCGCCAACAGTGCTATGTGGTGAATAGTGGGAATTCGGTGTCACTTTTTGTGGTTGTATTTGTTGTTGATAATGTGGTTGAGCTTGCAATACAGGTTTTTTTAGTGTGTCATAGTATTGAGGTGGAGGTACCGGTTCGGAGCTATGACTCTGTTGCGGTTTTTGTGTAACAGAGTTTTCTAGATGGAAATAGGAGAAATTTTCCGATTGTAACTTTTTGCGCTGTTCTTTTATTTCTTTAATTGACTGCAATAAATATGGCAACAAGTCTGCTTGCTGAAAAATGTTTGGGCGGGCTGTGGTTGTAGAAGTCGCATAGTAATTAACTTGTACAGGACGAAACTCATCTTGCACTGGTGGTGGTGGAAGTGATAAATTATATCCAGTGTACACAACTTTCGGCTTCTGCTTATAATTGTTTTGTGGTTGTGGATATGTTTGATAGCCTGGACTTAATTGGTTTATATTGTGGCGCGTTGGTGGTGTGAGATATGGATTATATGGGCCAAATGCAAAACTCGATTGTTGCTGGTATGGATTTGAATCAATCGCACGATAATTTGTACCACCAAAACTTGTTGCCGGCCACCTCGAGCGACCATTGCCAAAATTTCGAAGTTGGCGTGGCGCACGTACGCTTTCACTAACAACTGTATCATCCATATCAGTATAGTCCAAATCGAATAATTCTTTTGATGTATTGGAGTCATCTACGGGTTTATCTGTAGTAACTGTCAGTTCGTCAATTATCTCACTAGATGTATTAGAATCATTCTCAGCTTTAGCTTGAGTTTCTGTTGCCGTACTTGTGCTCCAGTTTTGGTTAGGCGAGTTTGTGGTAAGTTCGTTAACTGAGTTTTTATCGTCTTGGTTGGTTACTGTGACAGTTTCATTTATAGTCTGGTTATTTTCAGTCCCCAATTCGGTTGTTGGAGTCTGTAAGTGAGTTGTATTGGATGCCGTGGCGGTTAAATCGCGTTTTAAACGCTTGTGCACTTTCATGTCGCTATTAGTTGCGTCGGCATCATTTTCGTTGTCAAGTCGATTGTGGTACAGGTCAACGTCTATAAACCGTTTACTGCTTTTATACAGTTTTCGAATTCAATTTATTTCAGGTTTAGATTATTAATTGTTTTAGTCGTTCGTATAGTAGCGAATGAAATAAATTTTCATTTTGCGATGATTTGATAAAATTTTGAAAAATAGTAAAAAATAGTTAAGCATTAAAACGAAAGTAAAGTTTAAAACGTTATGCAAGATGAGCTAAGAGAAGAGACTAAGGAAGACTGGCGAACATTCCGCCGTTACTTACCTGAACTGTGAGCCAAATGCATATGAACCTATTTTACCATGATTGGGTATGGCATTTATGCTCGCCTGATGTATGATACCATCACGATCACGCTGCACTTGACTTACTGTGCTCGGTTGACCACGATAGACACGTTGCTGACGTTCACTGTCCTCCTCTTCTACCGAAGGCAAGGCATCAAGTGCATCGGCATATAGCTATTTATTTAGTAAATGATAAATCAATAAATGTCAAATATTTGTTATGGTTACTGCTGTTAACTAACCTTAGCAATATCCTCTTGTGAATCTAATAAAGGCTTAGGTTGACCACGTGATGTTATAACTGGATTTGGTGGTACTTTCAATTCTGGTGGAGGTGGTATATTTTGTACTTGCGCCTGTATAGTTTGTGATGGTTGACGGTGGTATTGTGGTGGCACTGTTGGCTTTTGTGGTTGTGGTGTAGAGGCTGCAGCACTTGTGAAGGCGGATCCAAACCGTACACGACTGGGCACATGCTGATTTTGTTGTTGATGTTTATTACCTCTACTTGAACTAGAGTCACGTGAATTTGCTGCCGATGATGCCGCTCCATTGTCCACAACTTCACAACCGACATTGCGTGGCCAATCACATGTTTGCAACTCATGTGAGTACATCAAACCACCTGTGCAGCTCTCAAGCAACGCTCCACCAAATACACACACATAATATTGTGTACAATCGGTGGGATGTGGATAATAGCCGAACTCTTCGGGACAATCAAAGTTGACACCATTTGAAGACGTTTGTTTGACATTTGTACCGAAACTACGGGAACTGGTTATACGTGAAGAGCGTTTGTTTTGTGTTTGTGCTTGAGTGGTGATATCTGCAATAAATAAAGGTCGATAATAAGAAAAAATGTTAGAAAATCATTTTAAAATAATATTTGAAGAAAATGTTTCATAAACAGATTAAATATTTATTATTAAAATAATATTTAAAGAAAACGCATATTAAATACATGTATTGTTAAAAAGGGAAGCGGGTTTCTTTCAATTTATTTTAAATATAATTACTAAAAAAACTTTTAATTAAGTGCTATTACTTATACATGAAAGTATATTTATATTTTTATATGACATAATATTTATAAATTTTTATTTATATATTTAAATATATAAAATATACTTAATACAAGATTTTGAATTGTGCATAGTTTTCGCTGTTTCAGAATAATGCTTATCTTTTGATTATTAGCCTCAGAAAAATTAATTATCATTTATAGACAATGATTACATGATGATGTATACGCTATAGTCCCCAAATAAGGATGTTACTTTAGATTGTATTTAAAAAAATTATATAACTATTTTAATTGACTTTAAACTAAAGTTTAAAAATACACCTAACATTGTAAAGATATCAAACGCCCACCTGGGCTGTATTTAATATAAATCTTTGGTTATAAAAAAATTACTTTTAATTTACTAATTTTTCTGAACGTTTCGAATATATAGTATATAATTATAAATGACTCTGTCTCTAAACTTTCGATGCAAATCGGGTGTTAACTGAGTGCACCACAAATAAATTCTTATCTGCTTCTTATCTGTAATCCAAATTATATTGGGTCGGCGTGAACTGTAACTTCTCTAGTACATGTCACAGAGGTGCTTTGACTTAAAGAATAGCAAGAGATTTTAGATGGTTCTGATATCTTATCAGGTTATATAGTTGCTTTTATAAAAAAATATAAAATATTGTAATATAAAATAAAATATTCCTCCGTGCGAATCGTGAAACAACATAAGCATAAATTCCTACGCATTACATTCCTAGATTAGGTTCTATACATTAGAGGGAATATATAAATCAAGCAACAAATAATGCCTCTACAAACAGATTAGTATTGAAATTTAATGTATTTAATTAATTCAATTATTCTACAGCTGGTTTATGATTTCGTTCTAATATAATCACAGCAAGTGAATTTGTTAAGAAAACTTTCACAGCAAATTAACAAAACTCCAAGAAAATGTTCGAACGTAAAAAGTCAAGCACGGCTTTGGATCAGTATCAATTAGTTAAGGAGCGCTGACTCTGAGCTTCCAATTTGGCAGGACACGAGTTCGATTCCTGATACTTACAGTCTCAAAAAATTATTTATGAATAAAGAAATACAAGAAATATTTACAAGAACATTGATGATGGTTATTTGGCAATACTCGAAACAGCTGTATGGTCAGCTATACTTATGGTCAGACAACCATAACTGGTCTTTAAATGCAAACTCTAGTAAAACCGATTTGACTTAAGTAATTTAACTATTTTAGTACAATTTTAGTACTATTTTAGTACTATTTTAAGTACTATTTATCTACTTTTACAAAAATATTGCGCTGATCATATTAAAGCTCAGGAAGAGTATATGCCGTTATTCAGACTAACCACTTATTGCTATAAGTATACTAAAAGACGTTTCTTAGAGTATTGGCATTATCCAAAATCCTTCGCTGCACTCGGAAAATCGGATTTTAGAAGAATATGTTGGTGAATAAAAACGAATTTGTCAAAAATAAAGCGTTTTTATATTTTAAATTAAAAAACGTTTTGAGCAATTGTTGGTTGGTTTGTAAGTTAATTTGTTGAACTTGCATTTAATTAAAGTAAATAGAGGCCAAATTGAACATCCAAAAGAATGTAGTTTACTTTAAACTTGTCACGTAATTTTAAAGTTAAATACATTTTAAAATAAAATAAAAAAATAAATTTATTTATTTTATAGAGCTTTTAAGTTAATATTGTCACATCATGTTTTATTTATTTCTATTTATTTATTTAATATGTTTTTTTTTTGTATTTTATTTACAGTAAATTTTTCTTAATTAGTCTCACGTTAAAAAGCCTTTGGCAAAAAATTTTATTTTTACAATGAAAAAAAAATGTATTTAAATAAAAAATGGCACTTCTGTCTTCTTAACCTTGCTCAGTATTCCATATATACCAAATAAAATAAAAAAAAAAAACTGCCATCAAATGGTGTTTTCAATTTTATTTAAAATAAACTTTTGGGTTATAAATGCCATTTTTTGAAATTATCTTCCAAAAGTTTTCAGGCCACGACTGAAGTACAAATTGTAATTACTTTTTATTTACTCCAATTCTTCAAAAGGTCACCCACTGCTCTTGGCAAATAATATCACCTGCTGCTGTTTCCATTGATCTTGCATTGCATGAATTCAGACTTTTGCGGATTTATGGTTAGGTTGACAAAACAAAACCACAAATGGTCGATTGTCGATTGTCGGAGCTTTAGAGCTCTTCATGACTTACAATGAATTTTAATTTTTCACTTCGACAGAATAAAACTGATTGAATATCGCATTAAATGTATCTTGACATTTATTGTGTGAGTAATTGAATAAACTAATTAATGTTCATTGTGGTTGCCTGCTGCTGGTCGACACTTATTTTGAAGGCCCCACAAATGTCAATATTAGGGTAATTAAATTAATTAAAGTGGTAAAAAGAATAGTGACAATTTAATACCATAGCTAATCTTACAGTTAAAATATTACCCGGTGAAGTTGATGAAGTTAATATCGGTCAGATTGTGAGATTGTGTTGATGAAATCAATTGAATTTTAGGTTAATTGAAATATTACGGTATGAGTGGATTGAATATAATTTGTTTCTTTATATAAATAATACAAAGTAGTAAGTAATTTACATTAAATGATAAAGGGGGTAATGTTGAAGAAGTAAAACATTAGTTAAATTCGTAGCGATTTTGAATGAAGGAATTTTTAGAAATGATTGGGTTATTTCCCAGATTCATTGAACTACAGTCATCAAGTACAGCTCCCTATTATCGTTATTGTATTAACCTCTATAAGATGGTAAAACTATACATGAAGGAATGCAAGGATGGTTAAAAAACAAAATACATACAATAAAAAATTATTATAATAAAGAGAAAAACATGCAGAATAAGGACAAAAAAAAAATTAAACGTAACATGATTCTGAGAATAGAGCAAAGATCAGTGGTGAATGGTGAATGGCTCAATTAGTTGTACCATAAGCTGACCTGTTCTTCCTTATGTGGAACAATGTATTCGATTATTTGTGCTGAACGTAAGAATCAAATCAGTTTTGGTTTACAAAAGGCATATATTTTTTACATACGTCAAGCCTCTTTAGTGAAAATGTTTTGGTTTTGATCAGGCAGACGTTTGTTGCATTCGCTACGTCTACGTTAACTACTTCAGGCTTTAAAGATAGTATAGGGATGAGTTTTGGTTTTCACAAAGTTCCTCTACGTGACAACTAATTCAGTTTTTGGTGAAAATGTCAGAACATAAAACGGAAACAATAACACATATAACAAAAAGTTATAACATGAAATATCCACAAATTAGGAAAATCGACATTTTTGACAATATCACAAAATAACTTAAGAAAATGGAATATAGAGACATGATTCCAATTTCCGGAATACCGCAAATTGACAAGAGATTTTGATTAATTGCAATATTCTGACCACCTTTTACTATTATGCTATGTATATGTCGATGTACTTTATTTTTCGAGATTTCGTAACTTTAATTGATATGAAAAAAAAAAAGAAGTACTTGGTATGCTTATTTTTAATGACTTAAAATCAAATTTGCTTATCATTTCAAGACAAATATACTTTTATATTAATGTGACGCGTTTTATGACGAAACGAAACTATTGAAAAGTTAGAATGGTGCGAATAGAAATGAAAAGACAACAAATAAAATTTTACTTAATTTATTGAAATTTGTTTTCGTTTCGGATATTGCCCAGCACTCATCATGAGTGATCTTCGGATATATTTAAATTGTTTAATTAGTTTATAGTCTATATATAAAATGTTTGGACTGCAAGTGCCAGACTTAGAATTTTAATATTGAAAAGCTGCAACTTAATAGTTAAAAGTTAGGCTTAATTGAATAAATTAAAATAAAATGTATTTCAACAAATTATATTAAAACTACTTAAAGTTCAATTTTATAATGATAAGGATAAACTTTGTTTCTATTATTACTAAAAACAAAAAAAAAATGATAAACTAAATAAATGCTTGCGTAAAAATTAAAAAATAATAATAATGTTAAATACCCACAAAATGGTATTTTAAAAGGTTAAATTTCAAGAAGTTGCAAAAACTATTGGAATATTTTTATTTGGCATTTTGGATAAGGTCAACCCCGACTTAAACTTGCACTAAACCGGCCAAACATTTAATGAACTAACCAATCAAGCAAAAAAATGAAAACAACATTAAAAAGTTAAAAAAAACTAACAAATTTTAGCTGCAACTTAAATAGATGAACAAGTGTTTCTTGCCACTCTTTTTCTGAGATGAGTATCTCAATTTTTTGGCCTTGTTGAAGTTCATGCAAGTCTACACCACAAAACAAGCACTTCAATTTCATTAAACATACTTTGATCATTGAAAACTACTTCATTCTAGAACATATTTAAATTAAAAGTTAATGTTCCGATAAGTTTTCTTAGCAGATGTTAGTTTTTATTATTTATCTGAGATTCCGTTTGAAATTCTCAGATTTGTTGCAATTTAGGCGCATCATCACAACGTACACAACTACAATGTTTATGTAAAATATTTAAATCCGTGAAAAGTTCAATTATGAGCAATGCATAGCTCTGGTATAAGTCAGGCCTTCCAATAGCTCAACTAGGTTTACTTTAATTTACTGGATTTTACATACTTTAGCGGCTCTTACAGAGGCTGTGGCTGTGGCATTACCACACAGTAGATGTAAATGTTTAAATATTGCCAATCATTGACCTGTTTCACTTGATTCGAAATTACATTATTTTGGAGTTTTTCTCT